CTCGCTGTGGAATGCAAACTTCGAAAGGCGTTTGATGGCAAGGTGTGCGCTACAACTTTGGAGTTCGACTCAATTGCCTCCACAATTCCCCATCAAACCATCATCACCACATTGAGGTTTCTTGGTGTCCCGGAAGTCTTCCTCGAATTCTTTACTCGTGCTCTGGAGCCCAAGCTGAGCATCCGAGGTTTAGCCAGTGAGTCGGATAAACTCCTAACACCTGCTAGTGGAGTAGCGGTTGCTCATGGCCTGGAGATGTTGTTCAGCGAAGCTGTGCTGACATTCCTCGATCTTGCCACGCACAAAGCGACGAAGTCGTACATGTACCGTCTGTATGACCGCTGCTACTTTGTCGGTACTGCGGTCCAGGTCAAGAGTGCCGAGCAAGAAGCCCTTCGTTTCTCTGATATCATGGGGCTGAAGCTGCGCAATACCTCGTCCATTGGCGGGCTCTCCATCGGACTTTTGACCATGGGCTCGCAGGAATCCCTGACTTTCGATAAGAGCGAGGAATTAAGCGTGGATGAGATCAAAGTCGCCATACACGCAACCCACGTAAAAGCTAGGCTCAAAGCATGCTCAACCGTACTGGAGTGGATTCGCGAATGGAATGACAGTGTCGGTACCTACGCAGCACAGCTCTTCGGGCCTCTTGCCAATGTGTTTGACGCAGCACATCGCGATGCCGTCAAGTCCGCTTACAGACGTATCCACTCTATCGTACTTGGTGGTAGTGACTTGACCACGTACGTTGTGAAGATGCTCAACCCTCATCTGAAATGTGGTCTGGAGCGTATGTCTTTTGATCTTGAGCCCATCATCTACCTCCCGCAATCTTATGGTGGCCTCGGTGTAAAGACTCCGTTTGTCGCTTTAGCATCCGCCGCCAAGATTAGTGAATCTGGTTCCGGAAGGATTGAAGGATATCTCAGCGAAGAGGCTGCCTACTACGAAAAAGCCGCAGACCGATACACTCTGGCGTCAGGCCAGCGTCAGCAAAGGCTCGAGACAATCTTCAACAATGACCTATCAAGGATGATCTCAGCGCTTGGTTCTGAAACCACATCCAGCGTATGTCTCGACGCCCTTCCGTTCATGACGGAAGCTGAGATGACGGAACATCGCGAACGTACTTCATACCCACTGCTCACCAGTTACTTCTGGAAGCTCGGTCCAGTGACAGTGCCTGATCTTCTCAGCCTCTATCATGATCTACTTGGCGAGGACACTGTTCGCATTGAAGAAAGTCAAAGGACCAAGCGGGAGGTACAACGTCTTTCCCGAACGAGGGATCTGAAAGACTGGTACAGAGTGAGCCAGCTGGAAAAATGGACGTTGCAGCTCTATAGCGAAGAGTGCTTTGAAAGGTACGGCGGCCTTGAAATCTGGTGGGCTGAGGGCATGCCCGTGGAAGTCTACAACAGCCTCAGAGGTCACATGTCGGATGACGACGACGACGACGACGATTGTAGTTCAATGGTCGAAATAGTTTAGCCCAGACGCCCAGGCGAGAGGGAATGAGGTGGAGTGATGCCTAGTTCAGTTGCCCGGATGCGACGCGCGCTTCTCTTCTGTCGGTACCGTCTACTTACAACCGTCGCTTCCGAAGGTGTGTCATGAATCTGTCGCGTTTCTTTCGGGTCTCCTAAAATGCTCGCGGTAGCTACGAATCAATGAATCATTCACGACGCGTCTCCATTAGTGCAGCGCGAAGATCGCGACCCCAGACGTCGTGACCTTGAAGGAGCGGCAATGCCACCCCACAAATGACAAGAGGTGATGTTCTGTGACGAGCAAAGGATGCGCGCGACTTTGAATAGTGAACCCAGTAGCGATGGTGAGGGCGGGTGCGATGGCCTGGTGCTGTCAGAAGTGTGGATGATGGCGATGCTGTGCGCAAGATCGTGCAGCCTTCGGGATCTCGGAAGCAATCGTTTCCGATCGGACCACGTGACACACGGCGAAATTCTACTCAAGGCTTTTCGTCCATGCCAGACCTATGAAACGAAACACATTTTCCGAAATGGTAATAATGAGCAGGATAACTCATATAGAACGCCGCCTCACATTGGTGGATTCATGCGGTGCTGGCGCATGGGACACGTAGTTCCCCCCGCACGTTCCGTTCCAAGGTTCATTCACCTTGCACCACCGGTTAAGAAGGCCAAGCCTTGCTAAGCTTCGTAAAGGATCATCAAGCCTTGTCTATCTACAACACAAGCGCTACGCCACCATGCCCTAGGACGTCTAGACAGCGCGACTAGCAACACCTGTCATTTCTTCACATCTACCCAGGCGTCTTCCACCCATGCGCCCTGAGTACCTGCGACCGCGACGCCTCGACGGGAAAACCTCGTGTCCCAATGGAGGCCGAATATAAGACATCATTTGGCAGGCCGTGCCATCTCGGGCCTACTCTAGATTGTTCTCTTGCAATGCGTTTTACGAACGCGAGCATGTTACGAATGCGAAGCTCATGGACGACTGCGAGACGTAGTATATACATATGCTGCCCATCGTCCGTAATTTCTCACTATCAATCCTTGGCTTCCATTCTTTGAGCACCGGTCTGTTGTTCAGTTTTGCTTGATTGACTTCATTTCGCATCCCACGCTTTACCCGTCGTATCCATTCTCGCCAAGGCGAAAACGACAAGATGCTGTCCAAGTTGGCCTTTTTCCTCGCTTCTTCCAATGTTGCTTTCTCTGCTCCAAGTCTCGACCCCCGTCAGGCAGTAACCATTGCCGTGGACTCCAGTAAGACCTTCCAAACGATTGACGGTTTCGGCATCTCCGAGTTCTACGGTCGCGCTGGAAACATCAAGTCTCTGGCAGCTGCTGCCCAGAAGCAGACCCTTGACCTTCTCTTCGATCCTACTACCGGCGCTGGCTTCAACATCCTGCGCAACGGAATTGGCTCTGGCCCATCCAGCGGCTTCTCTATTGAGCCCAACAGCCCCGGATCGCCCACTGGAACACCAAAGTACCAGTGGGATGGCTCCGACAACAACCAGGTTTGGTTGACGAAGCAAGCGCAGGCCCGCGGCCTCAAAACCATCTATGCCGATGCTTGGTCTGCTCCTGGTTTCATGAAGACGAACGGCAAAGACTCAAACGTCAGTACAACCACCCAAACGGGGTTTGGAAGCGATAGCTAACTTGCTCCAGGGAGGAAGCCTTTGCGGTGTCGATGGCACGTCTTGCGGCAACTGGACCCAAGCTTACGCCAATTACCTCACACAATATGTCAAATACTACAAGCAGGAGGGTATTGACGTGACTCATCTCGGCTTCTTGAACGAGCCTGACTACACGTAAATACTTCACATGTCTTCGCTTAAAAGTAGCTACTAACAGATTACAGCACCGCCTACTCATCCATGCGATCGACCGGACAGCAGGCCGCAGATTTCATCAAGGTTCTCGCGCCAACCGTCAAGGCCTCCGGTCTGAAGGTAAAGCTCACTTGCTGCGATGCCACCGGCTACAACGCGCAGAAGGCCATGCTTCCAGGACTCGCCGCAGTCGATTCCCTTTACGACGTCGTGACCACCCACGGCTACAGCTCCGATCCCACAGCCCCCTTCGCTACTTCCAAGCACATGTGGATGACCGAGACTGCCGATCTCAGTGGTAAGTGGACAGCCAGCTACTACACCAACGGCGGAGCTGGCGAAGGTCAGACCTGGGCCTCCAAGATCTACACTGCTCTCGTCGACGCCAACTTCTCGGCATACCTCTACTGGGAAGGCGCCGAGGATGCCGGGACCAACCCTACCAACTCCGTTCTCATCGACATCCACGGTGGCGTTGTTGCGCCTTCCAAGCGCTTCTGGGCTATGGCACAGTGGAGCCGCTTCGTCAAGCCTGGTGCGGTTCGCGTCAGTGCTGGTGGCAGGACGAGCACGCTCAAGACGTCTGCCTTCAAGAACACTGATGGCTCAGTTGCTGTGCAGGTCTTGAACACAGGTGCCTCAGCAGCGACCGTCAGCATCACTGGTGTCTCGGGCAAAGCATCTGCGTTCATTACCAACGAGAGCCACGGGCTTGATGCGATGACCGGAAACAGCGTACCGGCACATTCCATGGTCACTTTCCTTTACAAGTAGATGCTCTCTCCGTGAGAGTGTATTCTTCTTCAACTTCGAAAGTATGGCCTTACTTTTGCGAAGCCATACCCTTTTGTTCTCCTAGTGCTGACACACCCTATTTCCTTGTACATAATCATTATAAACTGTTCAATCGCTGCCATTTTCATTACCTGAGTAGTGCGCCATCGCATGTGAACTGTATCCAAACGGGAATCATTTCCGAAGCGCTTTCAACTGATTCGTGACTGCAGCGAAGACATCGCCATCTATTTGGATGCGCAGTACTTGAGTAACACTACATCAAGGTGCGGGATGGAGTGGCCGGTCCACTGGTAGAAAGAAGGACGGGCGCGAACTTTGCGGCGCTATGTAGAAAATGAGCTTAGTGGCGGGGAAGCCGTTGATGCCGCCTGCACCCGACCCTGCCAAAGGATCGATGTAATCTCAATCAACTGCAGTGTTGCGGCGTAGCTGTATCTGCGTACGCTAAACCATACTCAATACTCCTCGACGAAAGACGGAAGAGTAGTGCTCGACATGTTCGTCGCTGGTCATACGCGTCCGATACCGAGGAGCCACCTGGCATACCTTCCGCCTACCTAGGTATCATCTCGCTATTTCATGGCAAACAACTAGACCAAGTCTCTTCTCCGCGGCCTGACGGCAAGAATCTCACCACTAGGCATGCGGTACGGCACGCGTGCAGAGGGCTAGGCTACAACCGACCCGACCCCTGCGCTGGCTTTTGGGCATGCAGCAGCTCAGGTTCGTTTGCGCGGCTCAACGCTCTTCACATGGGCCGTTGCAACTAAGAAGGATAATTTCAAGCCGCTGTGCATCTATAAAGTCGGCCTTCGCGCTCCTTTCGTTGGGCGTCCTGTAGATTCTTCTGATCTCCAAGCTGGTCACCATGCGGGTGCCGCTCTTGTTTGCGACATTGCTCTCGTCCGTGGCATCTCAGAGTTTTGAGCCTGCCGACTTCAGCGTCACCGAGGCTCTTCTTGATCAAGGTGTCGATGTCTCCGCACTGCCAGAGTTAGCCGGCCTTGTAGGTCGGTCATCCAACCTGGCCTGCAACATTGCCGTGAGTATCTTTAAGCAAGCAGCTCAAAACTAAGGCTAAAACATAAACAGTGTTCTTCTCTGGAAGTCGTCTACGGAAACAAATCTGTCGAGTTCCAGGATGAGGCCGGCTACTCCGCGTTCACATCCAGCTTCTGGTCTGGAATCTCGGCCGAGGTCAGGCCGTACTGTATCTTCAAGCCCTCGAGCCCTGCCGCTGTTTCGGTAGTGGTACTTCTGTCTCGGCTGTCAAAATGTCCGTTTGCCGTCAAGTCAGGTGGTCACAGTGCGTTTGCCGGCGCAGCCACTATCGAGGGCGGTATCACTGTATCCTTCGAGAACATGAAGGGCATCGAGCTTTCAGACGATAAGAAGACCGTCGCAGTTCAACCAGGGAATGTATGGGGTAATGTGCTTACCGCTTTGTCGACCACCGGCGTCACAGTCGTATCTGGAAGAATTGGTGATATCGGGGTTGGTGGACTCACCCTCGGTGGCGGCATATCGTTCCTTACGAACGAGTATGGTCTAGCGTGCGACAACGTCGCGAGCTTCGATGTGAGTTCGCTGCGCAACTCCACGATACTCCCCTCTTCTAACGCTGACTAGGTTATCACCGCAAGCGGCGTCATGGTTACAGCAAGCCCAACGACCTTCTCAGACCTCTACTGGGCTCTTCGCGGTGGCGGAAACAACTTTGGCATCGTAACCAACTTCAACCTGACGACAAAACCCCTCGAAAATGACCAGATCTGGGGAGGAACCCGCACTTTCACAGAAGACAAATTCCCGGATGTAATCAAGGCGTGGATGGACCTCACGTTCAACTCGGCCCAAGACCCCAAGGCCGGTAGCTGGGTTGCGTGGTTGGACAAGGGCGCAAAGCTTGCTTCAACCGAGCTCTGGTACGGTGCACCGGCTGGCAATGAGTCTGCTATCCTCGCGCCTTTCTACAATATCACAGCGGTAGCTGACAGCACGAAAACGCGAGGCCATGCTTCTTACGTGATTGACAACGAAGCTACTAACAAATATGGGCTTCGTGAGGTCTATTACGTTATCTCAGCCAAGGCCTCCTACGAGATCGCCCAACGCTCTGTGGACATCTTCTACGAATCTATCGGTGCGCTCTCCGCTGTCGAAGGCGCGTATCCTGTCCTCATCTGGCAGCACATCACCGACGGTTCACTCAAAGGCAGTACCCGCAACGGTGGCAGCGCGATGGGTTTCGACGCCAATGGCAGCCCTATCCACATCATCCAGCTAGCCTGTAGCTGGAACAACGCAGCGGATGACGACACCGTATACCAGGTCATGTCAGACATCATGGAGGCGATCAAGAGCGATGCGGTAGAGTTGGGTGTGCAAAACGACTGGGTGTATATGAACTACGCAGCGATGTTCCAGGACGTTATCGCGAGTTATGGATCGGACAGCAAGAGTATGATGAAGACTATTGCGAGCAAGTATGATCCAAAGGAGGTGTTTCAAAAGCTGCAGCCTGGGTACTTCAAGTTAGATTGCGCGCCCGTGCCTGATGCGCGGTACTTTTCGTACTAAGGTCGCATTGGAGAGTGTGGGGCGTAGAGACCCATTAGCAATAGGCAAGACGATTAATCATCATAATCTTCCCTTGCGTGTATACTGGGTGATAGGCAAACTGATTTATAGATAATGAAATGTTGACGAGTGGTACAGGATCGGACGGGTAGGAAATGGCTCTTAGTCAAAGCTGGGGCGATGATCTGCGTACCTGGATTGTACGGTCTTGTAGTCCACTCCTTCTTCCTCAATCACTCCCTCCAGTATGCTGTTCCGGTACGCTTCCCAATCTTCTTTGGGTCTGTCTTGTAGTAACTTAGAGACGTACTGGCATTCTTCCTCGAACTCATCCAGGGTACCTATGATGCACGGAAACTGCACAAGAGAGTTGCCCGAAAGGATATGCTTTACTGATGTAGGAAGCAATTCCGGGTCGCTGCAAGCAGCGTCCCCCTCGTTCGCGAAAGCCAGTGCAAGATCATCTCGCGTCGGGAATGGGGAACGTTGAGCGTGCGTACAAGCCATAGCTGCGGTGTATAATGCTGCGACATCCTTTACTTTGTTCCAGATGAGCTGGACGGTGTCGAAGGGTCCAATGAGCTGGGTCTTGAAGGGTGGATGGGTATTCCGACCCCAAGATAAGCTAGTCGCTTCATTGATCCAAGTGATGGTGCGAAGTACGGCATCAGATACTCTGCAATCCGCCCACCAATCCTCCATGTGCTGTGACTTACTCATCTCCGCGAGCTTCCCGTAATCATGTGGGAATCTACCCAGTGGTCAGCGGAGTTTTGGCCAAGAAGGTGGCTTGCACTACTTACACGCATCGCCAGAGGTCAACATGTCTATCCACAGACAATCCATGGGCCTCATCAGAGACGGATAGCAATCCTCGCAAATGACATTGTGGCAGCGCTACGCACTTTTCGTCTTCTAGAATCTTGATCTGTCGCATCTGCTTTCGAGACTGGATTTGGAGCGTATTCACAAAGCGGATGGCTTGTGACGCGGCCGATTGGAAATATTGCAGAGACGGTAGGTTGTCTTCATAGCTGGACCAGGTCCTCGGGCATGGCGTCTCAAACAGATCTCGCAACCTGGACATTTCTTCGTCCGTAGCTACAACCCAAGGTTGCCAATTGGTTTGAGCCACGAGCAATCGCATTTCCTCGAGGCGCATGAGGCTGAGTTGTTCTGCATAGCTAACATCGTGTTCGGCTCTGAAGACTGAATCCGTCCCGACACGGTACCAAGCAGTCGATCTTTTTTCCCACTGGATCAAGTGGGTACTGCGTGAGAGCGGTGGTCGTGAGGAGGTGAGGAAGCCGAGGATGTCGATAAACCAGCCCCACGATCTAAGCCGTTCTGCAAAGCCGGCGTGCGAGGTCAGTTGTATGAGGCTCCCTTGTATAACCTCGCGATCATAGTATGTCATCGTCTGCGGGCCGCCCATAACAGCTGCGAGGGGGACATAGTCTTTATTTGCATGTTTCATGATACGTGCCATAATGTCGCCTATGCAGCTTTCAGGATGATGTTGCGAGATATGTGTCGTGACCGATGTGGTATCTATAGCAGGACCGTAAGCAACATTCGGTATTGGTAGATGCGAGATAAGAACAAAGGTTGACTGACCATATGTGGTCGCCGCTAACGCGAACATCTCCTCCTGCAAAAGGTACAGACGTTCCAACAAGAAGTCAAACTTGCCAGCCTGCGACCACGCATCCCAAATGTTAGACCCCTCCTGTGAAGTCTTGATCTCTTGAAAGGGTCTGAAGACCACTTCATTCACTTTGAGCGGCAGATCTCTCATCTCATCCGCGACTAGTTTGCAGGTCCACATCAAGCTGAAATCGATGATCTGTCCATTCGAATGACGAAGCTTGTTGGTGATCGGGGAGTGAGCGTAGCCTCCAGGCTCTTGGAGGTAATAGGTGTATATCTCATCGCGAAGTTCGCGGGGAAGGCTCAGAAGGCGAGATTGCACCTGCTGTGATGGAGCTTCCGTCGTCATTATATTGTGTCAACTCTGGAGTTGGTGTTGAAGAGATTCCAAAAGCAAAGTCATGACAGACGGCGCATTTATCATGGGCAGGTAGTAAAGGACACATATGCATACATGCAACCGGTTCCCATCGCGCGATAGGCAGCAGCAACAAATGTTGTAGCCTTGTGAGCTTGGTGTTTGGTCTTGTTGGTACTGCGGCCGAGATAGGTTTAGGGGTTTAGGAAATTGACGAGAATACATCTTCCTGCACTACACTGTGTGCACTCACTTGCTGATGGTCAGTCGCGTCGCAGAACAAGCGTCATGCTGGTCTCGCTTCAACGGCATGGAAGCCAAACGAGATCTAACAATGCAATTGAGGGGAATGTAACTCTTGATACTTAAGTGTTCTGACAGGAATGCGATGGAACGAGATGACGAGTGGAGATGCAACCTGTCCAGATGAATGCGAGGAACGCGGAGAAAGAAAGCATGTACTTCATTCCCAGCCCATCGGCACCGTCCTCACTATGACGGAGCACCGAATAGAATTGTTTGACCGCGTTCGAATTGAGAGATGACTTCCCGCGGTAAGGAATTGCAGCGTCCAGACTGAAATAACGTGTTGTTGTTCGGAAGTCCGAGTCGGAGTACCCAAATCGTGGTAGTCAGCCAATCACAGCACGTGGAAAGCGCTGACGGGCTTCCCGAGATCCGCCCGCCCCACGCGAGCGAGTCGCGTGTTTGTCCACCCCCTCGCGGCACGCCTCTCTGAATCCCGGAGTCAATGACGACACAGCGTAAGCCGAAGATGTTTGCGCCCTTGCACAGGGCACGAGGCGTCCGGCTCTCCGCCGCACCTACGGCGCACACAGCCCATCCTCCTGCGACGTGAAATATACCTTCATCCATCCGCCCAGTAAAACCACTCGCAATTGCAATCAACATACAGAATCAAGATGAGCCACCCAACACACCCAGCGACAGTGCACTTCCCCATCACCACCACCTTCCTCACAGGTGCTCTGGATGCCGTCTACTTCCTCTCCAAGTATGCGCCAACTGCCGGCGCCGTAGCCTCAACCTGTAAGTCTTCCCCCAGACCTCCCAAAGTCCTCCCATCTGATCACATATCTAACACACCAATCCGCAGTCAAAACCTTCGACATCGCCATAAACCCCTCCATCTTCCCCCTCCTCTCCTACTACACCACGCTCCTCACACTCCTCTTCTCCGCCCCGGCGGTCGCAACCGGCATGTACGAGTTCATGCCGCTAGTCAAGCGCGACGGCTTGAAGTCGAAGAAGGCCCAGGTGGGCGCGCTTCACGCTGTCATCAACGACGTGACGGTTTTAGGTGCGGCTTTCAACTGGTGGACACGGAGGAGCAACCCCGGCATGGTGCCGAGCGATACCAACATCTTGATCAGCAGTGTCATTGCGTTGCCGGCGACGATGTTCGCGGCGTACCTGGGTGGCAGTCTGGTCTATGTGTATGGCATGGGCTTTAGGGGCGGTCAGGCGAAGGCGAAAAAGGCGCAGTAAGAAGGGGCTGTATGACAATGTCGCCACGAGCTCAGGGACGGTGTCGGACAATTCATGGGAATACGGAGTCATCTCACGCGTCGTCGATCAGCTGCAATGCGTGGAACACTCACGCAATGCAAGACCTTCGCGGTTGAAATTCATTCGCCATTATTGGATGGGGAAATTTAGGCATCGCCATGTCGTTTGTATTGCGGGAGTCGTGGGAACTTAACGCAAGAGATGATTTTAGCACCATTCCATATCTACCTGTCTGTTCCCATGTTCATGTAAATGCACCATTGTTGGTTGGGGTTCTTCTTTGAAGAACCCGAGTTTGGAGCGGGAATGACATCTCCATTGGCTGGTCCCATCAGCCTTGTGTAAGCCACCCACTTCATGTCTCAGTGGGCAGCCTGAACCCCGCTACTTGGCAGTCTCATTTTGTGTGCAGCCTGTCCTTGATTCCACCGACGCTCACCTGGAAAAGGACGCAGTAGACTGGACGACCATGACATGCAATGTGATGACACGCCTCCCCTGCAGCGGCTTCGCCGACTTCCTCTACTCGAACCGAACACCCAAAGACCCAGCCTCTGCGAACTTCTCTCTGCACACCACCAGTAGCAACGCAGCAAAGGGTGCTGCCGCGGGTTGTAAGGGATGCGCGCTCATACATGATGCTGTCACAACTTTTAGACAGGACCGACTGCCATTTGATGATTGTCATATTACATTCACATCTAGAGACGATGCAATAGATTCCTCTTGTCTGAAGATTGTGTTCTTCCTTGAACCGGTCCGTAAAAGAGCAAAAGAGCAAGGCGCATGTAGCAGAAAAGAACCAGTCATAGCGACCGATGCTGCCGAGGAGCTTGTACGCCAGTACTTGGAGAATAGGGTTCTAGTGCGGTTGGACTGGTCGAGGGGTAAGTGATCTGTCCGCGGGCCAAAATTACACCAACATTGTAGCATAGACTGACAAGTGGTTAGCAAACGCTCTTAGTCCTCATGAGAGTCTATCTCTCAAGCCACTAGCAGCTTCGCGACCACATACGCATCTTCCAGATTGTACCTCTTCTAGCCAAACAACTCAAAGATTGAACCAGTGGCTCATTGCGTGTACGGAAACACATCCTGGATGCCAGACCTCGTTAGAGACGACCCTTCCGAAACGTTTTCTCCAAATACAGGATGACCGCGTCTATCTTCGAGAGGAAACAGCCGAAAGGGGTAAATATGCATGTCTTAGTCACTGCTGGGGCGCTCAAGGCCCTTCGCTCAGACTTGAAAGATCTACCTACCAGCAACTTGCTAGTGGGGTTGCAGTAGATCAGTTACCAAAAACTTTCCGAGATGCTGTCTCTATTTGCATCAGCATATGTGTTCAATTCCTCTGGATCGACGCTTTATGTGAGTAACTACAATCGAAGTACACTTGCGATTGCTAAAACCTTAGAAGGTATCAAGCAAGACGATGCGGATGACTGGGCACAGGCGGTTGCGACGATGGGCGATATCTACGAAACGTCGTGGATCACTATCGCAGCTACTGGATCCAGTAGCAGTCAAGAAGGGATATATTCGACTGTTCCAGAGCGATACACAGCCAGAGCCTTACGAGATCACGAATTCCATGTGCGAGAGAATCTTCCGGACTTTGCCAATCCAGTCAATTCAATCCACAAATATGATAATTGGCCACTCTTGCGTAGGGCTTGGGTATATCAGGAGCGACAGCTGTCATCCCGCATGATCCACTTCAGTCAACATCAGATCTTCTGGTCATGCAATTCCTCATTCCAATCACAAGATGGGTGGCATCCCGCACGATGGAACCCTAGTAAGAAGAAAAGTCTAGAGGAGTGGAAAAGCATTGTTTCCGAATATTCATCGTTGAGGCTTACATACGAAAGCGACCGTCTACCCGCCATCGCTGCGATAGTTCTGCGTGTTATGCAGAATCGACCAGGCGATACCTACATTGCAGGCATGTGGAGGGACACTCTGATCCCTGACCTGTTCTGGTATATCATCAACTTGCAGTCTCGGCCCCGTCCTACATACAGCATACCAACATGGTCTTGGGCCTCCGCATCTGGAAAAGTACAGCATTTCATCAGGGAACAATCTTTTCAGCAGGTTGCGCAACTACTGGATGTGACCTTTACCTCCATAGGAATGCCTCATATAGGCCAAGTTAAAGATGCTAGTATCATGCTACAAGGGCCCGCCTATAGTCTTCCAAGATCAGCGTATTCGATCTTAGGAGACAATATCGCAGCCAAACTCTGGCAAGATATAGACGTCCCTTTGATGTCGGATATCCGATGCACTGTCTTCAGAGACTTCGATTGGCAAGCTGCCAAGCCTCCCATAGGATCCGACCATGACTTGACCGTCTTGTTCCTATGCGAAGAACTCGGCGACTCTGCGCGTGTGGGACAGCATTTTGGCGGGATGATTCTGAAAGCAGTCGAACATGATGCCTTCGAACGGGTTGGGTTTGTCCATGTTTACCCAGATCCCAGTAGGTACAAATATCCTTCTTCCAGGGAAAGTAGCGACGAGGAAAGCAGCGAGGAAGGTGCCGAAGCCGCCAAAGAGGACGAGGATGGCGTAGATGACGAAAGGATGAAGGATAAGAACACAGCTCACAAAGGAGCTGTCTACTTTACTGCAACTAGACCTCACACCGGGGCAGAAAGGGTTGAGATTGATGATTTCGACAGCGAAGACGAGTCAAGCGGAAGTGATAGTGATGATGTAGTGTCTTCCTTTGTTCACGCGTTACCGGTGCAAACTTTCAGAATCATCTGACACCGTCGTTCACATCTGAGGGGACTATCTGTTGGGAGCGTCAATATCGCAACTCGCAATAGATCATTACAGCCCAAATCCCCGCGTATACACGATGAGCGCCTAGAGTTGCTAGATGGGTCGCTTTCTTGACCCAAGCTCGGAATAAATCGCATGCAGACTGATGGGACAACTAGTACTAAGCGGATGGGTCAAGCGCGCGTGTCATTCAGCGTTCGATCATAAAGTCGTCGACGCTGTGATTGGGCGACATCGTCAAAAGAGTTGAGCCTCACTCTAGCCGTTTCCTGCGGTTGTTGTGGCACTTCGGGAGGCCAAGGTACCACGACACCTGCAGCTAGGTACTATAGCTTTTCCTGGCTCACCGGACGGCACGGCTCATCCTTGCACGCCGCCTCGTCAAGGCTGGTCGCATGGCGCCTGCAGGCGTTTTGTAAAAACAAGAAAAACCCTGGTCTTTGACTTTAATTACATTTTGTGGTTTTGCTCGCCGGGGTGTGTGACAACTGTCGCATGCAACATGTTTTCTCAATGGCCTTATTTTGAGCCTTTCCCTGAAGTTACCGGGTGAAAGTTTCAAGACATCCACCGATCGCGTTGATAGTATCAGTCGCTCTTTGAAGGATATGAAAACTTCCCAGCCTAGGCTGAACCGTTGATGCGACCAACAGGGCGAGAGAAATACCCTTGCAGACGATGACGCCTCGCAGATGCTGTGGCTAGTTACAGGGGGCAAGGTTTAGACGCGACGCACATACGCCGAACACACTGCAGCTTGCCTTGGTACGTGCTGATTCTGATGGACGACGGGATCTGTTTCGCGACTTCGAGTTATTCATTTTTCGTAGCTTGGATGTGAACAATCCAGTGCGCACTCACTACACAGTACCACGAGCGAATTGCGAGACCAGCAGAATTAGGCTCTATCTATATGAACCACTCAATGATATCAACAGCTTCTTTTAAATTGCACAGGCCGACAACTGCGTCTGTGAGCATCCTTCGACAGAGAAGAGCTTCAATGAGATACTCCTATGTAGAGGCGAAGCGTACGTTAATGGACCTCTTCGTAGACGTCAGTCCGATGTGGGACAGCCCAGCCGGCCACAGAAGACAGTCGTAACGGAAGCGAAGTGTGATACCGAGCATGTCACAGAGAAGGCGAAGTGACAGTTTACACGGCTTGATGCGATTCGATTTCGCCTGCTGCGCCTTCAGTAGAGGCCATTATCTTTCATGTATGCTGCAAGCACTTGCAGGATGCAGGCCAGCCGGGTGTTCTTAGTGGGCGAAGATAGCATTGCTTAGGACTGTCGACGTGGCCAATTGCGCTTCGTGCATGCGGGTGCGCGATACTTACGTGGATACACTCACATGAAGTTGGGTCTTTGGATTGTGGATGCTTTGAGATTTCTTGAAATAATACTGCATCCGTGTACTGCAGCCGTGCACTGCAGCCGTGTAAAATTATGTCATATCGCTCTGAAGATGACTTGCGATGATCCTCCGAGTTGCCACCCGCAGCTACCTAGGTAAGGTGGCCCTGGCACACATCATGTTCGCAGCCGAGTCATACCCTGGTTGATAGACCCCGTCCGACTGATCTCGCAAAAACAATCACACATCTTATCGCGCCCCTGACAATAGCTGTCGATCGCGTCGTTGGTCGCTGACATTTATGGTTAAAATTCTTCTTGACTGCAAGGGCTCTTCTTCATCCAGCCCGGGCGCTGTCAGATCCGGAGGCGACGGTTAGTCGGCTGCGCGCCGTTGGCACAAGTGATCTGCTGTTTAGCATTTTTATCTCTAAATGTAAGCTACCTTAGGTATTACTAAATTATAATTCTCTAAATTTAATAAGTATTCTACTTACTTATTTAATTACATAAAAGACTAAAACTAAATATTTATATATAATTTATTAGTTAAAGTATTAAAGTTAGTACTTTAGCTTACTAAGCTCTAAGCTTATAACTAACTTTATTTTTAATAAATTTTTTACTAGTAAGTACTTAAAAGCTTAATAAGCTAATACTTATAAGCGTTTACTTATTAGAAATTATATATTAACTTTAGTTATAGTAATATTATATTAGTAAAAATATATAAGTTTATTTTATATACTTAACTAAGTATTTTAGTAGTTTTTAGTTACTATTTTTTACTTTACTTTTATAAATATAAATAATTAATTAAGCTTT